TATATATATATATATAAATGTATAATATTGTATTTTATAAATAATAAAACACGTTGAAATTATTGGTATTTTTTTATTCCATTTTTTCTTTATTGTCTGGATCATAACCGAGACATAATCTGTGCAGTTGAAATAGATGACCGGTGGACAGAAGGATAAAACATAACATGGACTGCAGTGTACAGAATCTCCACAAGGCGGAGATCTCGCTTATTGTCAGTGGAACGCAAAGATAGGACGTGATGTAATGTGGAGGCAGGAAGTGATGTAATGTGTAGACAGGAAGTGATATCACATATCAAGGGACGTTCTGGGTGAGTTGAGAGGAAGTAGAGAGGAGACATTGCTGGAACTGGCAGGTAACAAGATATTATTTGATATATGTCAGGAGGCTTCTGGGTAGTTTGTAGCGATGATTGTAACTTCAGCTCTTAAAACAGCGTTATAAGGTACGGAGTATAATACCCGGTGAGCCAATAACACCCAGCGGCTCTCTTCATGAGACATCACCCATCACAGAGCCTCCACCTTCCTGCCTGACCACAGAGGAGAACAGAGCCAAGAAGATTCTAGAAGTCACCCAGAAGATCATCGAGCTGCTGACGGGAAAGGTGAGCGGTGCCGGGAATTCTGGGACATGATCCAGGAACAGACAAGGGATGTGTCTGGGTGGTGACTGTATCATTGTGTGTGTCAGGTTCCTATAAGGTGTCAGGATGTCTCTGTCTATCTCTCCATGGAGGAGTGGGAGTATCTAGAAGGACACCGGGATCTCTACAAGGACGTGGTGATGGAGAATGAGCCGCCCCTCACATCACCGGGTAAGAGGAGAGAGCAGTACGGAGGCTCCACCTAGATCCCCCATCATCTGATACACACATAGAAACAATGTATTCAGTCAGTGTGTGTGTTTCCTACAGATGGATCCAGTAAGAGGAACCCACCAGAGAGATGTCCCCGTCCTCTGTATTCCCGGGATTCCACACAGGAAGATCTCACCGTCCCTCACCATGATCAGGTAGGTGGATGGGACCCAAAAAGTAATCTAGACACTATGAGAATTATCCTCTTCTGTGTAGTCTCGGGATACTGTTACATTTTTTTTTTATATCATACTCTTGGTTCAGCATGAAGAACAGATGTATATACAAGTTGAGGTTAAAGAGGAAGAAGAAGTGACATCTTTGATGGTTCATCAGCAGTCTACGGAAGAAGTTGGGATGATGGCAAAAGTCAAACAAGAGGAACCTTCTATAGCTATCGGCACAGGTAATGTAATGATTACTAAATACAGAAACTGGTTAGGTATATGGATCGATGATTGAGGATATGTAGACCTTCACCTCATCTGGTAGCATGATCTTTACAAGGACGTCGTGATGGAGAATGAGCCGCCCCTCACATCACCGGGTAAGAGGAGAGAGCAGTACGGAGGGTCCACCTAGATCCCCCATCATCTGATACACACATAGAAACAATGTATTCAGTCAGTGTGTGTGTTTCCTACAGATAGATCCAGTAAGAAGAACCCACCAGAGAGATGTCCTCGTCCTCTGTATTCCCAGGATTCCACACAGGAACATCAGGAGATCCCTCACCATGATCAGGTAGGTGGGACTGAGAATGTGGACCTTAAAAATAAATGCAATGTTGATCCTTTTTTTATAATTCTCATCTTTGGGGTTTTTTAGGGTGAAGAACTGAAAGACATCAAAGTTGGGGTTAAAGAAGAAGAAGAGACGTTGGTGAGTGGAGCTCAGCAGTCTATGGAGGAGGGGGAGATGATGGTGATGAAGAGTAAACAGGAGGAATCTTCTCTACGTTTGGACACAAGTAAGTCATAAACACTAAAACAGAAACAGAAGTAAAATGAAAATGAGAACTTTGGGTATAAGGTCCTCCTTGATTGGACTTGATGGACTTGTGTCTTTTTTTTTCTACTTTAACTAACTATGTAGCTGTGAACAATTCACGTATCCATTGCATTGACTCTAAAGCAGCTGTTGAACAAAAGAAAGGCCGAAAAATCCCGGGAACAACATTCATCCATTTTTAAATTTAAAGGAGAACTATGAGGTGAGTGCTTTTCACTCTCCTCATAGTTCTAGCCGACCTGTGACAATGAAACTGTCACAGGTCGGCTCAGTAGATCGGGAGGTGAGCGAACACATACCGGCGTTCGCTCACCTCTCGATCCTGTCACATCTCTCTGCCATGACAGGGGGAGGGGCTGGATTCCCCCCTCCCCGCTCCGATCCTCCAGCGCTGACTGGCGGAACGGGAGGGGGCGCGCACTGCTGGCTCTGCCTCTAGATAGGCAGTGCCAGCTGTCACTCAAGCAGCTGGGCGGATCCAGACATAATTGTCGGGATCCGCTTTGGCTGCGGCGTCTCAGTATACCGCGAGCTGTAGCTCCCTATATACTGAGCTTAGGGTGACGGGAGGACGCTAGTTTGTGTCCTCCCGTTACCCTAAGGAGAACTACGGGGGAAAGCCCTCACCCCATAGTTCTCCTTTTAATATTGGCAGCCGTGTGTGTGTGTATGTGTATGTGTATATGTATGTGTGTGTGTATGTATATATATATATCTTGTGGCATGTTTCCACTCTCTGACCACCTCCTAAAGAAAGTCCACTGTCTATGACCATCTACTGTGGTATGTCTCTGACCATTTACTGTAGCATGGCCCCATTCTCTGACCATCTCCTATAGAATGTCCACGGTCTCTGACCATCTTCTGTAGTATATCTACTATCTTTGACCATCTATCATTGTATGCCCACCCTCTCCGACCTTCTACTATAGTATGCCCATGGTCTCTGACCATCTACCAGGGATGTACCGGTATTTTGCTTTCTGTACTTGCCGATACCGGGTACCAATGCGGGTGCTTCTGCTGGCATGGAGCCAGCTTCCCGGGCAATCAGCATGGAGGCGGCTTCCTGGCCAATCAGGAACCCAGGAGGTGGATCAACTATCACCACACGGCCCCGCCTCCTCCCTTTTATTTTGTTGACTTGATACATTAGGGGTGTGGTACCTTTTTATTCAGAACCTGATCACGCTTATTTGACTTAATTTTTGTAGTTTGTCCAATGTCTAACTTTTTCATCGTCCTTGAACCTCTAGTGAAGTATGTCCTCAGTCTCTGACCAGCACATGTAGCATGTTGGATCCAAAGTCTTCTCCAGTTTTTTTGGAGCATTACATACACTAAACCAGGGGTGCCCATTAGGTAGACGGTGATCCACCCAGTAGCTCACAAAGCTGATGCTGGTAGATCAGGAATGTAAGTCGGCTCACCATCCCGAGAACCCTCCTACGGTCTGTTTAGCCCCTCCCCCGTCTGCTGCGTATGACACATGAAGGCCGACAGCATGAGAGCAGCGACTTTAGGATGGAGGGCTGAGCACGAATGGAGGAAAAGTACGAGGTCTAACTTCCCGCTGTTCTGTAATATTGCAGAGCAGCGACTTTAGAGAGAGCAAGGAGAGACAGCCAGGGGCGAGAGGAGATACAGCCAGGGGATAGAGGAGAGAGAGAGAGAGAGCGAGGAGAGACAGCCAAGGGAGAGAGGAGAGACAGCCAGAGGAGAGAGAGAGAGAGGAGAGACAGCCAGGAGACAGCGAGGAGACACAGCCACGGGAGAGAGGAGAGACAGTGAGGAGAGACAGTCAAGGGAGAGAGGAGAGACAGTGAGGAGAGAGAGCGAGGAGAGACAGCCAGAGGAGAGAGGAGAGACAGCCAAGGGAGAGAGTGGGGAGAGAGAGCGAGGAGAGACAGCCAGAGGAGAGAGGAGAGACAGTGAGGAGAGACAGACAGGGGAGAGAAGGAGCGCAAGGGAGGTTTTTTTTTCGTTGGTAGATCTCATGAAGCTCGTCATTTGAAAGATCTTAACACATAAACTGCGTGCACCCCTGCCCCAAACAATATGTGCGCCACTTTGTGATATCGGGAGCCCGGCTTGAGGCCACTTTCACCTGATTCCCCTTCACTGCTGCACACCATATGAACAGTCCATCTCTGCTCCTCAGCACGTTGTCTTGGTTCCAAGAAATAAGGTAGAAGGTCCATCACTGTCCTTCACCAGAAGAATGGGGTCAGTGCCGTATTCCGCTGTCCAGCCTAGTCTGCGTGTATTGTGTCCCTTTTCCTAGTTTTGGCGTTATGATTGCACCCATCCCCCTAACATTTGCTTTCCCACAGATGGACACAATGTGCGGAAAAGGAATTCCTCTGAGGAACATCTTCATATATCTCCAGAATACAATGAAGATCATGGCATTGGGGAATATTCTCCAGGAGGGAACACTAACCAGTTGGCAAGATCCTTGAACCACCCAAATGCTGAGGAATCTTCTGATCCAATCCCTACTAGGACTTCAGACTTCCATCTTAGATCTCCGAGTGCGGACAGATCAACAGACTCATCTAATCCCAAGGAGTCTTCTTTAATCCATGAAGGGGTTCACCCAGGCAAGAGTATGTTGTCATGTTCGGTGTGCGGGAAAACTTTCACCTACAACAAGGCACTAATTAGACACCAGAAAAATCACACGGCTGAGCGGCCCTACTCATGTTCAGAGTGTGGAAAATGTTTCCCCCAGAAAGGATACTTTCTTTTACACCAAAGAATTCACACAGGCGAGCGTCCTTATTCATGTTCAGAGTGCGGGAAAAGTTTCCCTCGGAAAGGGGTTCTTATTGAGCACCAAAAAGTTCACACAGGTGAGCGCCCTTTCTCTTGTTTAGAGTGCATGAAAAGTTTTGTTCAGAAAGGAGACCTTGTTAGGCATCAGAGAATTCACACGGGAGAGCGTCCTTATTCATGTTCAGATTGCGGGAAGCGTTTTACTCAGAAAATTGTACTTATTACACACCAGAGAATTCACACGGGTGAATTGCCTTTCTCTTGTTCAGAGTGTGGTAAGCGTTTCTCTAGGAAAGAATACCTTGCTAGTCACCTGAGAGTTCACACAGGTGAGCCTCTTTTCTCATGTTCAGAGTGCGGGAAAGGTTTCAATCAGAAAGGAAAACTTGATAAGCACCAGAAAATTCACACAGGGGAGCGTCCTTTCGGATGTACAGAGTGTGGGAAATGTTTCATTCATAAAGGAGATCTTGTTGTTCACCAGCGAAGACACACGGGCGAGCGTCCCTATTCCTGTTCAGAGTGTGGAAAAAGTTTCCTTCAAAAAGCTGTACTTATTGAACACCAGCGGATTCACACAGGCGAGCGCCCATTCGCTTGTTTAGAGTGTGGGAAATGTTTTGCTAGAAAAGTGTGCCTTGCTGCGCACCGGAAAATTCACACAGGCGAGGGCCTTTTCTCATGTTCAGAGTGCGATAAGTGTTTTAGGTTTAAAGGGAGTCTAAATAGACATCAGAGGACACACACTTGCTGATGCTATTGACAAATGTACGGTGGTACTTAACCCCCTTGAATCTTTCAATTCAGGGGACAATTGTGTGCTAAAAAATTAATTCATAAAGGGATACATCCTAGCAAAAGTACCAGCCCATCGCCAGTGGAAGGAATGCCCCATCATTGGTGTCAGTGGGAGGAATATTGCCCCATCATTGGTGTCAGTGGGAGGAATAGTGCCCCATCATTGGTGTCAGTGGGAGGAATATTGCCCCATCATTGGTGTCAGTGGGGGGAATAGCGCCCCATCATTGGTGTCAGTGGGGGGAATAGTTCCCCGTCATTGGTGTCAGTGGGAGGAATAGTGCCCCATCATTGGTGTCAGTGGGAGGAATAGTTCCCCGTCAGTGGGGGGAATAGTTCCCCGTCATTTTTGTCAGTGGGAGGTTAGTACCCCAATACTATAGGTGGAGTCCAGGGATGACATATGCCTGCTGCAGAAAACTATCTCCCTTCCGTCAACATTGGAGTTCTTCTTTTCATTCTCCACCATATAAAATAATAATCCAGCACGGTGAGGCGGAGCTCCTCATAATAGATTACAGACCCGGGAACCCAAAGACATCACCATACCAAGGAACCTTTGTTACGAGCCTCAGAATATCCGGGGGAGAAGGGGCAGATAGGTCCACATATTGTACAATGGTAGAACTACACGGTGGTGGTAGTACGTAAGTGACCACGCTGGTCATTGGCACAATTCAAGGGCAACAAACGGGCAATGGTGACAATCCATGGACAAATGTTCCAATATCTGGGCAACAAACGGGCAATGGTGACAATCCATGGACAATTGTATCAATATCTGGCCAACAAACGGGCAATGGTGACAATCCATGGACAATTGTATCAATATCTGGGCAACAAACAGGCAATGGTGACAATCCATGGACAAATGTTCCAATATCTGAGCAACAAACGGGCAATGGTGACAATCCATGGACAATTGTATCAATATCTGGCCAACAAACGGGCAATGGTGACAATCCATGGACAATTGTATCAATATCTGGGCAACAAACAGGCAATGGTGACAATCCATGGACAAATGTTCCAATATCTGAGCAACAAACGGGCAATGGTGACAATCCACGGACAATTGTATCAATATCTGGCCAACAAACTGGCAATGGTGACAATCCATGGACAATTGTATCAATATCTGGCCAACAAACGGGCAATGGTGGTGAGATGTAGACACGGAGGATGGAAGAACGTATCCACCGGGGTGTGTTCTGGGAAATTTCTGTACCTACAATTTATCTTCTTATATTTTACATTTCGATTTTGTTTTCTTTCGTTTCACATTTATCAATAATAATAAAACGCTATCGGCGTATCGTTGTTGTTGTTTTTATTATGTTTCTTGTTAATGGTCTGGAAATATAATTTGTGTCGGTAATAACGGATGTCACATAACCGCGAGGCTGCGGACAGAAATGCTGAAACCTAACTGACCCTGCGCTATTTATAATCTCCACAAGGTGGGGGAGCTTGCTTATAGTGCGGAAAACGCTCAGACAGGAAGTGAGGGATGATACAAATAGGAAGTTCCGGGTCAGAGGTGAGTTGGGAGGCAGTAGAGAGGAGACATTGCAGGAACTGGCAGCAGAGGAGGTAAGAAGATATTTTATATTTACACCCGGTAACCCCCTTTAGGTGAGATTTGGTCCCCCCATATTCAATTTGATGCATCTTATGAAGATAGTGAGAAAAACATTAAGAGGAATATAGAGCCATTTATCCAACCGTCCATCCAGAGCCGCCATTTATAGACCGGATACATCCTAAATATAGAGCCATTTATCCAACTGTCCATCCAGAGCCGCCATTTATAGACCGGATACATCCTAAATATAGAGCCATTTATCCAACTGTCCATCCAGAGCCGCCATTTATAGACCGGATACAATCCAGGAAACTATCATTTATCTGCAGAGAGGAGCGACCTGAATAGATCACATGACCACAACACTAGAGATGGAGAACGAGCAAAATCACGTGACTGCGAAGATATTGGACCTCGCCCTGGAGATCATCTACCTGCTGACTGGAGAGGTGAGGAGGATTCTGGGAGGATCACCCAATATTATATATGCAATTCACACACAGACCTAACCGGACAGGTGAGGAGGATTCTGGGAAGTCTGAGGTGATAATTGTTACTTTCTCTTTACGCAGGAACAAAATGTAATCAAAAAAACATTCACTGAATCATTACCACCCAGAAGATGTCTTCACCGGACATCACCCATCACAGGTCCTCCACCTCACCGCCTGAGCACAGAGGTGAACAGAGCCAAGAAGATTCTAGAAGTCACCCAGAAGATCATTAAACTGCTGACGGGAGAGGTGAGTGGCGCCGGGAATTCTGGGACATGATCCAGGAACAGACAAGGGGCGTGTCTGGGTGGTGACTGTATCATTGTGTGTGTCAGGTTCCTATAAGGTGTCAGGATGTCTCTGTCTATTTCTCCATGGAGGAGTGGGAGTATCTAGAAGTAAACCGGGATCTCTACAAGGACGTCGTGATGGAGAATGAGCCGCCCCTCACATCACCGGGTAAGAGGAGAGAGCAGTACGGAGGGTCCACCTAGATCCCCCATCATCTGATACACACATAGAAACAATGTATTCAGTCAGTGTGTGTGTTTCCTACAGATGGATCCAGTAAGAGGAACCCACCAGAGAGATGTCCCCGTCCTCTGTATTCCGGGGATTCCACCCAGGAAGATCTCACCGTCCCTCACCATGATCAGGTAGATGAATAGACCACAAATGTGACTCCATACTCTATGGCAGGGGTAGAAAACCTCCGGCCTTCCAGCTGTGGTGAAACTACAAATCCCATGATGCATCTCTCTTCGGGAGTCGTGGCTGTGAGAATCTTGCAATGCCTCGTGGGATTCGTAGTTCCACCACAGCTGGAGGGCCGAAGGTTTGCTACCCCTGCTCTATGGGATTACACTCTTCTATGTAGTCTCAGCCTATCGGTGATAAGAACGTCTTGATTTTATCTTCCGGTCATTCTTTTGGTTTAGGATGAAGATGAACAGATGTATGTGAAAGTGATCATTAAAGACGAAGAAGAGGAGGTGTGTGTGATGGATTATCAGCAGTCTACGGAAGAGATCAGGATGACGGCAAAACCGGAAGAATCCCTAAATGTCATCACAGGTGAGTAATAATCACTATATATAGAAACTGATCCGATATATCGATGATTGAGGACCTGTAGACCTTCACACAGTCAGGTAAGATGATATCTACAAGGATGTCTCTGTCTATTTCTCCATGGAGGAGTGGGAGTATTTAGAAGGACACCGGGATCTCTACAAGGACGTCGTGATGGAGAATGAGCCGCCCGTCACATCACCGGGTAAGAGGAGAGAGCAGTACGGAGGCTCCGCCTACATCCCCCATCATCTGATACACACATAGAAACAATGTATTCAGCCACCGATCTGACGGCTGGCATCCATCTTCAATAAGAATGTTATTGAAGATGCTCATGATGGATGCAGGGGACTTGGTCATCGTCAGAGTCTCGTCTCCCAATCGATATCCTGGAGCTTTGACCTGTCAGACAAGATCATGTTGGGGCTCATGTTCACCAAAAGAAAATGTCTCTCCATTGTCGGAATTGGAGAGTTCACCAATCAGCCGCTGCTTCTTTCAGAAAGAGGGATCTTCTTTTTCTTATCCTGGATGGTCCCCATATGGGTTCACCAGCTTCTCCTTCCGCCATCTTTAGGTGGCTCAGACAGACCATGATCCAAGTTTATTGTCTCGAGGGTTGGGATATCCTCTACTAGATCTGTGAGTGCTTTTTGGGCTTCTCGAATCAAGCAGATCCTCCCCAGATGTACAAGGCTTCCACCTGGTCTTCTGTTCACATGTTCTACCTGGTGGATGTTGAGGCCTCATCTGATGCCAGCTTCGGGTTTAAGGTCCTTCAGGCATCTCTTTGAGCTTTCATTCAGTCCCCTATTTTGTTTCTTGTTTTCTTAGCATTTGTTTGCTGTGCTGTCCACCCACCCCATGGCTAAATCACTTCCTGTGCCCCTGAATGCATGGAAAAAATATAAAATGGGAATTTGGTACTCACCATAAACAACTTTTCATGGAGTCCATTGAGGGACACAGTCCTACCTCGCTATGTTTTTTTGACCATGCTTTGGATACTGCTTGCTACAGAAGTGAGGAATGCTAGTAGTAGGAGAAGTAAGAGGGGTTATCCTCGGCTGGCCTACTGTTACAGTTGTTTGCCAGTATTTAAAAACTATATATAATATGTGTGGGTACATTTAGTAAGAAAGTATATTACTGCTGTGGAAGAATCACACAGCAGAAATGTAAAAAATGTGTCAGTCATTTATGAACAGAACCTGAAAACTAGCTCAGTCATGAAGGGGTTAATGCTCCTGTAGGTGACAGTATAACCTGAAAGGCTTCCTGTGTCCCTCAATGGACTCCAAAATGAGGATATCACGGTGAGTAAAAATTTACATCATATGTTAAAAGAAGACAGGGGGGAGGAAGGTCCATCTCCATCCTCACACTTCCGATGTTACTCAGTATGGGTTGGGTGTGTTGTTTCCTTTATCGGAGTCACATTGATATCTTTGGTTATGATTACTTCCAATCCCGGGCCGGAGATCTGAGATCCTGTCGTGTTCCTCACCAGCATATATGACTCCTATATACAGACATGAAGACTTCTGATCACATTGATTGACATGTTGCTCTCCAACAGATGGACGCCGTGTGCGGAAAAAGAACAACTCAAGAGATCCATCTAATTCCAAGGAATCTACTTCAAGCCATAAAGAAGATCACACAGGAGAGGGCTCAAGGTCCTCTTTAGAGTGCGGGGAATCGTTCAATAAAACCAGACCAACTGGTGCACACCAGAAAACTCACAAAAGTGAGCGTCCCTATTTATGTGCAGAGTGTGGGAAGCGTTTCTGTGAGAAAAGAAGACTTCTCAGACACCAGAGAATTCACACAGGCGAGCGCCCTTTCTCTTGTTTAGAGTGCGGGAAATATTTTATGCAGAAAGACAACCTTCTAAGACACCAGAGAAGTCACACGGGTGAGCGTCCTTATTCATGCTTGGAGTGCGGGAAAAGTTTCATACATAAAACCCACCTTCTAGAGCACGAAAGAATTCACACAGGTGAGCGTCCTTTCGATTGTTCAAAGTGTGGGAAGTGTTTTACTCAGAGAGGACAACTTATTAGACACCTGAGAATTCACACAGGTGAGCGTCCTTATGCCTGTTTAGATTGTGGGAAAGGTTTTACTCAGAAAGGGCAACTTGTTAGACACCAGATTAGTCACACAGGTGAGCGTCCTTTCTCGTGTTTACAGTGTGGGAAATGTTTCACTCAGAGAGGGGACCTTAATAGACACCAAAAAGTTCACAAATAAACTTTTATGAATTTATGAGCCTAAGATTTTCTAGGGGAGAGGGTGCTGATAAATGCAAGTGATATATGATGCACATCAAGGTCTGTTAGGAACTGTCAGATAATATAGTGTGGATGGTGGGAGGAGAGCTGTCAGAGAATGTAGTGTGGATGGTGGGGGAGAGCTGTCAGAGAATGTAGTGTGGATGGTGGAGGAGAGCTGTCAGAGAATGTAGTGTGGATGGTGGGAGGAGAGCTGTCAGAGAATGTAGTGTGGATGGTGGGGGGAGAGCTGTCAGAGAATGTAGTGTGGATGGTGGAGGAGAGATATCAGAGAATGTAGTGTGGATGGTGGGAGGAGAGCTGTCAGAGAATGTAGTGTGGATGGTGGAGGAGAGATGTCAGAGAATGTAGTGTGGATGGTGGGGGAGAGCTGTCAGAGAATGTAGTGTGGATGGTGGGAGGAGAGCTGTCAGAGAATGTAGTGTGGATGGTGGGGGAGAGCTGTCAGAGAATGTAGTGTGGATGGTGGAGGAGAGCTGTCAGAGAATGTAGTGT